CGGAGGGACGGCAGGGGGCTCCGCTGCAGGGCCCCGAGCTAAGACACGCCGCAACCCGGGAGCGCAGGACCTAAGCAAATATTTGTGGGGACTGGGAAAACGATGTACCTTTGCAGCGGTGTCTGCAGAGGTTAAAAACAAGATGTGACGGGGAGAGAGAGAACGTGGGGGCGTTTTTCCGTTTTCAAAATTTTAACAAATGCACCCACCAACACAGAGCTGGGGCACAGACAGCAGCTCAGCGCACTCCACCATGCTCCCCCAGCCCCTTTCTCAGCTCCCCGTGGATTCGCACCCCCTTTGAAGGCGGCAGTTGTATAGAAAGGAATTCGGGAACACACACGCACACACACACACCCCCGTTTGTTTCCAGGTTTTTCTCCCCAGCAATACAGTGGTAAGTCAGAGATGGTAGAAGAGAAAGAAAAAAACCCCACGAACCAAAAAATGACACACCATGCCAAGCCTAAACTTCTCAAAATACGTGGGGTTTAAGCCAATGCTTTCCCCATGAAGTGGCAAGTTCAGTTTGGAGTTACTCCCTTGGGGGTGGCCACGCCAAAAGTGCAGCCCCTGGTGCCACCAGCCCAGCCTGCCCCAGGGGAACTCGTGGCTAAGTGAGCCAGCTGGGGCAAAACACCAGCTTTGCAGAGCTGAAAGGAAGCTGGGTGCTCCCAGAAGACTTCACATTTGTTCCAACACTCGCTGAAGTCATGCTTTGAGATGAGCCTCCAAAGGCACCATGTTTTTCCCCATGCAGTACTTTGCCTAATCAACATCTGAGACTTTTTATATCTGCAAAGCCTGCAGGAAAAGATGACTCAGAAAGCAAATGCGAGAGAAAAAAAGGTCGAATTTTAGGTATTGGTCCACATTGTGCAATCGCACCATTTTTAGCCTTGCTGACAAAAAGCTTGGAGGCATCATGCTGGTATCCTAGGACTGTTAACTTCATACATCTGTGTTATCTTCATACATCCTAGCTCCCTGGATGCCACCCACCGCCAGGCTGATACCAGCCCTCCTCTTGGTCTGGTCCATGATTAAAATTGCCCGAGAGGCCACTGGTCCCTCACCAAAGGCCACCCTGCCAGCTGCTGCACAACCCTCCTCCCTGCTCGCTTTCAGCAGCCAGACTTCCCCAGGACCCCAAATGCAGAACCCCCTTCCCAGCATGCCCCGCTGCCCTCAGCACCCCAAAATGAGGGGTAGGAAAGGCCCCCCCAGCACTTGATTTTTCCCCAAAGGATTTTTCTGTGTGCACAACAAGATTTAAAGACAAGATAAAGAGCTTTTATGTAAAGTAAGTACAAAAATCTGTTTGAGTCCAGCAATTAGTGCTGTTGCTGTTGAAGCCAAGATGATAAATCCAGTCAGATGAAACAGGAGCGGCTGACACAATAGTTTGTCAGAGTCTGAGCTTTTCTTCTTTTCCTGGACTGTCACAGCAATTTTCCCTCAGTCACAATACCGAGCGTACCAGTGATTCCACAGGAGCAATACTCCCACCAGCATGGAAAACTAAGTGCTGCCAAGAAGCAGGAAAGAGGAAGACAAGCCTTTTGGTCTCACGTCCTTTCTCCCACTAAATCCCCACCAAAAAAAAAGGAAGGCTTCCCCTTGACCTGGGAGCAGAACTGGAAGAGGCTTCGGCCTTCTCATCCCGCTCAGGGAACAGTCAGCCAGTGCAACGTGGCCTCTGCTCTGCTTACAAAACCAGTAGCCAGAAAGGTTTAAATGCAATCAACAGCTGTAAATAAAAGTAGGCCAACACCAAAACTGCTTTTGAAATGCAAGAAACATAACACACCGAAAAAGTTACCTTTGTTCCTTGAAACTCTCTCAAGTTGTCCACAGGCTGAGATATTTACCCATTTTTTAAATGCCTTCAGTCTCCTCCTGATAAGCAAACCTATTTAATTGCCTTGAACAAGAGTGTCCAGAAAGGGACAGCAACTTAGATTAACTTGCATTAGGCTACCTGCTGACGTTGCTAGCGGGCTGCTGTCTGCCATGGCACAGACCTCTTCATTGCAATAGCGCAACTGCACGTGAAGAATTACTGTAATATTAAAGCATCAGCCTCCTGCTGCAGCTTCCCATGCCTGCTAGCACCCCTCAACTGTGTTCTGTGGGGCTGCTCCTGGCTGCCAGAAACCCCAAGTAAAATGTCGGTGTTTCAGCAGCAGCCCTTGATGTGCAGCACAGCAGCCCCCACACCCTTGGAAATGGGGTGCAAGGGGGAAAAGCACCTGCACCCCCTCAGCCTGGCCCACTCCTCACCCTCCCCGGGTGCAGGTTTCACCAGCTACTGGAGGGATGAAATGTCCGGGCCGCTTCCTCAGCCAAATTTCACCTGACAGCTCTGAAACACAATAAATGCTCCTCTTCCCCTTGGTGGGAACAGCAAGAGGCGTCAGGAGAAGCAGCTCAACCAGACCCACAAGCACGAGGTGACCACAGCACTCATCTCCTGCAGGCACTGGGGCTGCAGGAAGGCTGGCTCGGGGGCGGGGGGGAACTGTACCACCAGAAGCACCCCTCCTGCCTCGGATGAGTCCCAGGGGTGACCTGCTCAAATAGTGGTCCCCTGTCCTCACAGCAACCGCAACAGAGCAAGCGGCGCTTCCCGGTAGTTGCTGTGGCAAGCACCGGCTGCTGCCATCACAGCTCAGTTCAGGATCAGCTTTTGCCCAGAAACACATGGATCAAAGCATTTTTTTGTTATACAGGCTAGTTACCACAAAAATACCTTTTCCCTCTGAGGGAAAGCAGTGGCAACAATGGACCAGCCCATTCGCTACTCTCTTACCTGCCCAGGGAGCTCCAGGCACCCACCCCAGGCTGAGGCTGAGGACAGCACCCTCCTATGTGGCTCCTCCAAACATTTCCATTCAATTAGTTCATTTAGTGGCCCCATGCTTCACTGAGCATTAATTACACCTACTTGTGCCTGGCCACTGAACAGCAGATAAGCAGCATTATTTGAATTTTGTAAATCTGCGGTCAGGCTGTCTCACGGGAAGGGGCCGGGGCGCACAACGCAGCCGTGTTCAGCTTGCCCTCCCCTGCTGTGGCTCTGGCCCAAACACCTGCCCCAGAGGAGCCATCGGGAGGTTTGTCTGGGCTCACGCTGTGCGCAGCATGGCATACAAAGGCAGCACATACACCAATTTTGCTCCGCTCTACCCTGTCACCGATACCATGCCAGCCAAAGCCTCTGACAAAAACATGCATAGCGGCTAATTTAGCAACACTTAATTTTTCTCCTTCAGGGGACAGAAAGGAAAAAAAAAACACACAGACAGCAGACAGGCAAGAGATTACACAACGAGGTTATAAAATGAAGCACGATTATATTTTATTTGGGCGTCCCCATCCATTCTGGACGTGGAGCACGCGCCCTTGTGCAAAAGCATTCACTGCTGCGTGCAGCAGATGCGTCCAGCCAGGGGCTGTCCAGAAGGACGACAGGCAAAGAACCACAATTTCAATGGAAATAGCCATTTGTACCATGATCAGATTTGGACAAAAGGCCCGGCAGTGCCGCCTGCCCTTGTTATTGCTACTCGACACTAGCAGGGATTAGGTTGGGAAGGGCTTTGCTAACATGAGCCCTCCTGGGCTCCTATTAAGGCTTAATTGGTGAGGTTCAATGCTACTGTTTTCTGTACTTACGCAGCACAGCTAAATGCAGATTAAAAACTCCACACGCACAATGACTCCACAGATAACATCACAACGGAGAAACAATTCAACAGTTGGGGCTGTAGGGCAACCTGGGTGGGAAAAAACACTTCCAAAGGTACAAGTAGCTGTAACAGCATTTATTACCACGTCGCCACACCCACTATTAAATAAAACCCTCTTCCGCCACTCTGTAAGTGTATAGTGAATGATAAAGTAAATCAGCAACACAAACTGTCGGAAGAAACTGGTAGGCACCCGGGGGCCAAAAGGTCCCCATCCCTGCAAGCAGCAGCACGGAGGACCTCCCCCCAGCCACCCCACAGGAAAGGGTCTCTGCATGGCTCCCTCCCTGCACAAGCAGGAATACCACGGAGCCAGGGCAGAGGTATTTTAAACACAGACATTGAAGCCATACTCTGATGGACAACAGAAGACTCACTTCTCCAGCTGCCCAGGGAAGAACGAGACCACTAGGAGCAGGGCTGCAAACAGCCACCCTCCTCAAGCCTGCAAACTGTACCAAAAAAAAAAAAAAAAAAAAAGTATTTATTATTGCCAACAAAGAGTTTTAAGACCACCTTGCACCACAGATAAGGTGAATGAATTTGTTGGTCTTGGTCTCGTTGTTTCGTTGTGGAAGGCAGAAGCTGGTTTGTAAGAGAAGGGGAAGGGGCAGACCTGGGTATATAGTGTCTGAGGTATGGTCGGAGGAAAAAAGTGCAGCAAAACGAGATGCAAAAAAAAAACCCAAAAAAGAATAAAAGGACTTAATAGGTTGGCTCTGAACATATTTCTTGTATGAAAATGATTGTCAAAAGAGTCACTAGTGAAAATAAGTTAAGAAAGTATGTTCGCCATAGAGGTACCTTTCTGCTTCTTTCAACAACAGAAAATTAACCCAAGGTCCTTCAAGTGTTTTCTGTTCACCACAGGGATACTCTTTGGAAATCCCATGTCATCCCAGCGCACACCTCCGAGGATGCCGTCTGGTTTGTGGGGTGAAAAGAAGATTCTGAGCCCAACACAGCTACACAGAGCATCTGTCCAATAAAGAGACACACGGGTCTTCTGCAGGGCCACCCCCAAAAAGCTGCCCAGGAGCCTGGTCTCTCCCATGCTGGCGTCCCCACCATGGTGCACTACCCAAAGCGAAACTTCAGACGGTACTTGACGGGGCTGGGGTTTTTCCAAGGTGGGGATGAGGCAACCTTTGGTTTTGGTGGTGGTGGGGGCTTCTTTTCAGGGAGGGTGACAGTGAAGGCGAGCTCCGGGGGCTGGGGCTGCCGAAAGCGGGGGAGGAAGTGCGTGGAGACGTGCTGGGGCCGGGCACGGGGGCTGCAGCCCCGCTTGGCTTTGCCCCGCTTGTTGAGAGCCACGTACCACTGGCGGCCTGAGCGTGGGCTGCGGTGGATGGCCGAGGCGTAGGTGTTGTAGCTGTTCTCCTGGAAGCGCTCCCGAAACTGGCAGTCTGCCGTGAACCGGGCCTGCGGGGACAGAGCCGGGGGCACTGTTAGCAAAGGGCTGGTTTTACCCATCACCTGCCTCGCGACACTTGTTGGGTTTTTAAGTCTCCCCGAACCAGGTCCAAAGCGGCAAGCAGCAACACAGGGAACCTGGGAAACTCACTCTGAGGCCACTGGGTACCCAGGAACTCAGAAAACCCCAAGCACAGATACTTCCAGTAGCTGCTTGCCACCCAATTTTGGACTTTCTTGGAAAAAAACAGGCTTGGCCTGCCCCAGCAGCACCCTTCCCTCCCACCCCAGCTCTCCTCCTGCCCTTCCCACTGACAGGAGGGGGGACACAGTTCCTGTAACAC